TGTATTGCTAATGCAAGCAGGCCAGATCTTAAGAATCTGAGCCACATATATTATATTTAACAAGCACTTATTAATCACCTACTATGTACCAGGCACTGTGGTAAGTACTAAAGATACAAAGAAAGGGGGAAAAAATTCCTGCTGTCAAGCAGCTGACATTTGACCTTGCCCTTCCTTGAGGAATAGGTTGTGATCCTGTTTGGTGTTCGATAGCATGTTATTTCTGTCATTCTTGCAACTTGTAGGTTCTATTCCCACTTACCATTTCAGTGTTAGAATTAAACTATAAGGTGTCAAGGAGGCATGACTCAGTAATTTTTTCTTGTCAGAATACCGTGGATTCTATTTTTATGTTGTTGTTTATTTTAATTAATTATGGAAAGTTTTCTTGAACAATTTCCTGAAACTGAGTGCTTAGACCATTTCATTTTTCTAAGCTTCCTGAAATGTCAATAATGCTGAGGTTGCTGTGATTTGTTTGACCCATCCTCTGGTCTGTCACTTGAATCTGCATGTTTTCTGGGACTTTTCAATAATTCAGTCATTTTCTGAACATGTCCTTTGAGTTGCTCTGTGTTGCTGGCAAGTTTGTTTTCTGACATCATCTATTCCTATTGACTTTTTTTTTTAAGGCAACTGGGGTTAAGTGACTTGCCCAGGGTCACACAGCTAGTAAATGTCAAGTGTTTGGTCTGAGGTTGGATTTGACCTCCTGAAGTCAGGGTCCTCCTGACTTCAGGGCTGGTGCTCTATCCACTGCACCACCTCCCTGCCCCTTATTGGCTCTTTTCATTATCCATTCTTATCATCCTGTCTACTCTGAGCAGTAGTCCTATCTCTTTTCCCATCTTTCTCCTGCCCCCAAGATAACTTTTTATTATCTTAAGTATTTGTGACAGCCCCATCTCATTGGGAGCTTTAGTGCTTCTAACAGTCCCCCAGGACGACACCACGCTTTTGTGCTCACCTCTCTGTTCACCTATCCTTGCTTCCATTTCCCAGACATGTATTTTAAATATAAAGTTGGCCAATTTCCTGTCAGTTTTATGTCAAATGTTACATTCTTGTGCTTGGAAATTACAAAAGTTTTAACATAGAAAAGTGAAGTTTTAAGACTAAAAATGATGCTGATATGACACAAATATCCCATATTTATGCTAAAACAAAGGGATCAAATTTGCATTATATTTAGGTTAAAGACCAGTGTATAATATCATTCAGATGCTATGTTTTCTCAGTTAACTATAGGCTTTAAATTACTTTCTAAACACATTTACTGGTTTGCCAGATTATTTATTCATCCACCTATTTTTTTTATTTATCCATTCATTCATTCATCTATTTGAGGAGTGGGGAGAGGGCTGAGTCTTTCTATCTCACCCTGGCTAGAAATACAGTAGCTATTCATATTCCCAACCCAACTACTGATCAGCATGGGAGTTTTGATCAGTTTTTCTTCCAGCATGGGCCAGTTCACTTCTTCTTAGGTAGGTTAGTGGCCTTCTTGCTCCTGTGGACTCAGCATATTGGTGCCAGGCTTAGTTCAGATACTTCATGGGTTTAGCCCACTGTGGTCCAGAACTCCTGAGCTCAAGAGATCCTCTGCCCAAGACTCCCTGGTAGAAGGGACTACCAGCTACCACACTCAGCAACCGATTTACTTCTATAAATATTCATCCATTTAATTTACATTGTCAGTGTTACTGGCATGCAGTTGGGCAAAATAGCTCCTAATAATTGCTTTTATTTCATTTTCATTGGTTGTGAATTCATCTTTTTCATTTTTGATACAGGTAATTTGGTTTTCTTCTTTTTAAATTCAAATTTAGCCAATGGTTTATCTATTTTTTTTTTCCTTAAAAAGAACATTTCCTGGTTTTACTAGTTAAATGGTTTTTTAAATTTTCAATTTTATTAGTCTCACCTTTAATTTTCAAGATTTCTATTTTGGTGTTTAATTAAGGGTTTTTAATTGGATGTTTTTTAGAACCCATTTGTTTATGCAATTTATTTTAAGCAATGTGGCTGCAGGGCTTTGTTTTCTTTTTGTGAACAGGAAGGAATAAGTTAGCAAGATCTTCATTTATGTTTATTGATTTATAAGTTTAAAAGTTATAAAAAAAAACTAGCCCTGTGCATCCACATCAGTTACTTTAGAGAGTTTACTCTGTTCTTTCTTATTGGAATTGCTTCTGTAATTGGAGAACTATTAAGAATATTATTCTTGAAAGCCAGCCATCCCTTTAAAGGTTGTGTTTCCCTGCATCATTTTAGGCCATACAATTTTTCCTTTCTGCCTTTTTGTGTCTTTTGAAATATGTTATCAAAAACACTAGAGTAATTTTCCTTCTTCTCTATCACAAATTCCAAGGAGTGGACACTTTCCTTCCAAGTTTTTGACATTCTTACTTTAGCAACCAGTTGTCCCTTATTGGTTAGAACTAAATTCATAGTGGCAGTTCTCCTTGTTGCTTCCTCATCATTTGAAGACTAAAATCATACTTAAGGCAAGGCAACAATTCGTTAGCTGCTCTATTTTTCCAGAGAGAGAGAAAGAGAGAGAGGAGAGAGGTGAGAGAGCACTATAGCAAAGTCTGGATGATTAAAACCTCTTCTATATCATGTCTTCATGCCAGACTTGTGGTCTGCTTCCTAAACTGTTCATCTCTTTCCTCCTTCTGCCTAGGTGGTCTCTGGTATACTTGCACAGCAATGAATATGTTAATGAGTAAGTGTAATAACCCAAGATTATTAGCTATGAAGCTATTTCTTAGAAGAGGCTAGGCCTTCTGAAGGGACAAGAAGAGTTCAACTAGTGATCATAGTGATATAGATTTAGAGCTGGAAGGAACTCCAGAGGTCATCTGGTCTAAACTCTTGGGTTTACAGATTAGGAAACTAAAACCAGATAGATGAAAGGATTTGCACAAGGCCACATAGCTAGTAAGTAGTACATCTGGGATTTGAATACAGGACCTTCTTATTCCAAATCCAAGGTTCCTTCCACTGAATAAATCACCATTGCCATATTTTAGAAAGGACATTATCAAACTGGAGCTGTCAGTATGGAAGCAATGTGACTTTGGGGAACCCAGAAAGCTGCATTTCAATGCTTTCAGCATAGGCTTTTAGCAACCACAACCAGGGTACTCTCACCAATTGGGCTCCTAAAAGTTCTGAGGTAGGAGATAGACCCTTGCCCTGGTCAGCTCCTACTTAGTCCTGCATAGGATCATTGATCAGCTAACAAGTGTTCGGAGGAGAGTGACCAGTACTGTGAGGGAACTGGAGACCATGATACATGAGGATTGGCTAAAGGAACCAGGCATGATGAAAACCTAGGTAAGAGAGAATTTAGAGTGTATATGATATGACTGTCTTCAAGTATTTGGTGGGCTGGTAGTTGTGGTGGTGTGTGTACTTGTTTGTTTGTTTGTTTGTTTTTAACATTCATTTTAAAAATTAAAATTAAAAATTTAGAGTTTCAAATTCTCCTCCTTTTCTAGTCCCTCCCTTACCTATTGAGAAGGCAAATGATATGATATCAATTACACATATGAAGTATATGACTTAATATTTCCATATTAACCATGTAGCAAAAAAACAGCATGAAAAATAAAGTAAGCAAAAATATGGTTCAATCTGTACTCAGAGTTTCTCAATTCTCTCTCTGGAGGTGGATAGCATTTTTCATTTGAGTCCTTTGGAGTTGTCATGGATCATCATCTTGATCAGAGTGGCTAAATCTTTCACAGGTAGTTATTGTTACCATGTTGTAGTTACTACGTACAATGGTTTCCTGGTTTGTTTCACTTTGCATCATTTCATTTAAGTCTGGGTTTTTCTGAACCCATCCCCCTCATCATTTCTCATAGCATAATAGTGTTCCATCACAATGTATAACACAATTTGTTCAGCCAGTTTCCCAATTGATGGGCATCTCCTCAATTTCCAGTTCTTTGCCACCACAAAAAGATCTGCTATAAACATTTTTGTGCACATAGGTCTTTTTTCTTAAATTTCTTTGGGATACAGACCTAATAGTGGTATAGCTGGGTCAAAGGGCATGCACGGTTTTATAACTCTTTGGGCGTATTGTTCTCCAGAATTGTTGGGCCATTTCATCACTTCACAAACAGCGCATTGGTGTACCTATTTTGCCACACCTCCCCCAGCATCTGTCATTTTCCTTTTCTGTTATGTTATCCAATCTGATAGGTGCGAGGTGCTACCTTTGTCTTCAAGTAATTGAAATGTTATAATGAGGTAGAAAGATTAGATTTGTTTTGCTTGGCCCCAAAGGACAGGCCCAGAAACAATTAGGAGGAGTTGCCAAGGAGTGAAGTCAGATTCAGAAGGAAAAAAATATCTATATTCATAGAATTTCAGAATTGGGTGAGGGAACCTCAGAGCCCATGCAGTCTAAGTTGTACAAACACTAGAACTGGTCACTAATGGAAAGGGCTACGAGGGAAAAGAAGTTCACCGTCCCTGGTTGTCTTAAAGGGCTGGGTGGATGACCCTTCATCGGGGACATTGGAGAGGGATTCCTACACAGGAATGGGTTGAGTAAGATGACCTGTGAGATCCCTTCCAGTTCTGGGGTTCTGGAATTCCATGATTCCATGATAGCCTGCTAGAAATAGCCTTCAGGCAGAGATAATTTTTCCCCTCTTAGGAAACAACCCTTGGGAAATCTGTTTCAAAAATCCTAGGATCAGAGATCTGGAGCTGGAAGGAACGTCATCCAATCTACGCCTCCTACCCCGCCCCCCCAGTTGTTTTACCAATGAGGAAATGAAAGACCAGAGAAATTAGGTGACTTGTCCAAGGTCACACAAATGCTAAATGTCAGAGCTGATCAGTCTCTGACTTCCGTCAGTTTTTCTGATTCCCGATCAAACATTAGCATTTAACATTTAGCATTGTATGACACAATGCTAAACCCTCTAGGAAGAGGGAACAAAGCAATTATTGTTTCGTTTTATTTTTTGTCACAGGCACAGAGATGTCATCCGGCTCCTCAGGGATGCAGGTGCTCAGCTGTCTCCTCAGGAGCTTCAGGGTGCAGGGACTGAGCTCTGCAGGTAAGAGACACTGGCCAGATTCCCTGGGCTGTCCCCATTCCCAGCCCACATCAGTGCTGCCAAAACTTAGCTAAGACAGCAATTTTGGTTCCTAGAGGGAGCATCTGGTGGGTTTGTTCTAGATCAGGGGTGGGAAACCTATGGCCTTAAGGCCATATGTGGCCTTCTAGGTCCTTAAGTGCGGCCTTTTGGCTGAATCTAAATTTTACAGAACAAATTGGTGGCTTTCTAAATCCTTAAGTGTGGCCTTTTGATTTAATCCAAATTTTACATAACAAATCAGTGGCCATCTAAATCTTTAAGTCCAAAGGATTTGTCCTGTGGCCTTAAGTGGCCTTAAGGCTGTAGGTTCCCCACCCCTCTTCTAGATGGACAGATTCCCTCAGGAAAATTTAAGGGGCAGAAGATGAGGTCTCTTGGGAAAAAGAGAAGCCCTTTGTTAGGGATATGACAACCTGTTCCATTGTCCTTCAGAGGTTCACAGAAATGAAGTCCTTATGAACCCTTCATCTCCTTGGGCTTGGATTCTAGACATGGTTCATTGGATGCAGACAGAGAGTATAGAGCCCTGGCCTGGGAGTCCTGAGGCCTAGGTTCCAGACCTTGCTCTGACTCTAACTTCTTGTGTCAACACTGAGCAAGTCTCTGTTCTTCTCTGAATTTGAACTTCTCTCTCGGTAAAATGGGGTTGAACTAGAATCAGCAGTGGGGAGTCTGTGGCCTTGAGGCCACATCTAAACATCACAGAACAAATCCCCTTAATAATAGCATTTGTTCTGTAAAACTTGGACTCAGTCAAAAAGCTGCATCCAAGAACCTAGAAGGCCACATGCGGCCTCGAGGCTGCAGGTTCCCCACCCCTGGAGATAGATTCTGATGTCCCTTCTGGCTCTGACGTTCTGTATTTTGTGATGTAGAGTGTTTCCAGCTCTGAGATTCTGTAAATTATGATTCTGAGGCTCCTTTTGACACTAATATTCATGTTCTAAAACTCTTCCAACCTTGACGTTTTACATATTATAGTTCTGAAACTCCTTCCAGCTGGGACATTCTATTTTATGTTCTGTTTTAAGGCCTTTTTGCCACTCCAAAGTTCTCTGCTTCTGTGTTAGAACCTAGGAATACCTTTGTGATTGAGGAGATCTCAGCCTTAGTGGGCTTTGAACCCCAGTGGCCTGGGAAGAGCAAAACAGAGCTTGTGTGTAAGCCTGTTGTCCATCACCCCACAGTTAACCCTAGTTAATGCTGTGGACAGAGGGGAACCTCCTGTAGTGGAAAGTGTTAAACTTTGTCTGTTCAAGGGTTAGAGGTTCAGATCTTGCCTATGACACTTATTAGTTATATTGCCTTGGATAAATATCCAAAATAAAAAATCATAGGATCATGTATGTAGAGTTAGAAGGTACTTTAAAAGTCATCTAATCCAACCCCCTCACTTGAAGCTAGGTGGTACAGTGGATATAGTACTGGGCCTAGAGTCAGAAAGATCTGAGTTCAAATCCAGTCTCAGATACTTATTAGTGTGACCCAGAGCAAGTCATTAACCTATATATACTATATGTATAGTATATATATATATATATATATATACCTCAGTTTCCTCAATTGTGATATGGGGATAATATTAGTACCTCCCTCCCAATGTCGTTGTGAGGATTAAATGGGATAATAATTGTAAAGTGCTTAGCACAGTGCCTGGCACATAGTAGGCCCTTAATAAATCCTTCCTTCCTTCTTCTCTCACTCCTTCATTTTCCAGATGAGGAAACTAAGGCCTCTAAAGTAAAGAAATAGGTAGCAAAGATAGCATTGGAACTCAGGTCCTCTGACCTCACATCCAAGAGTCTTTCTATTGGAGCAGAAAAGGTGATATCTCTGGGACTAGATGAGGGATGGAGAACCTGTGGCCTCAAGGCCACATGTGGCCCTTTGACTGAATTAAAACTTCAGGGCCCCTAGAGGGCCACATGTGGCCTTCAGGCCACCTGTTCCCCACCCCTGGACTAGACTTTGCCTCCCATCCAGGGCCCTCCTCACTATTCCTTTTCAAATTTGTAGGGTCATAGAAGTTCAAAGAGAGCAGGATGATGTTGGGATGTCACACAACAAGGTTAGAGTCAAGAAGCAAAAAGAACTCTTCTTGTTTGGAAGCTTCACTTAAATCCAACTCATGTGCAAGTCAAGAAAGACATCACCCTCATGATGTCATTTGTCCTTTTTGAAAATGAAGGATGAATAAGTGAATCATTGGCTCTCAAACCTGTGGGGACTTTAGATCCCATCTCCTTAAACTCCGTCATTTACAGATGAGGGAACTAAAAGCCAGAGATTGGAAGGGAAATGCCCAAAGTAACAAAGGTAGGAAGTAGCAAAGCTGTGTGAATTACCCTAGGTACTCAGACTCAAAATCCAGTGCTTTTCCCAGTGGATAGAAAGGTCCCTGTCTCTTTCCCAACCTATAGAAAAATAGACTTCTCCTCCTATTGTTGCCCCCGCTTTTAGAGTTTTGTTTTGTTTTTTTTTTTTTCAGGTAGAGAAGGCAGCCACTTCAGAGAGAAAATGGTGGGTGGGAGGATGGTTTCCTGGAATAGGTCTGCCCAGCACCTTCCCCTTATGACTTTAATGCAACCTCACCCACCTGTTGTCTCACCCTCCCGCCCAGGGCACTCCCAGAATGACATTCTTCACTGAGAAGAAGATGGCCCTGGACTGAGGCTTAGATAGTCCCTGCAAAACCTGTCTAACTGGGAAGAGAATTATTAGGGTGAGGGAAAGACGAGACAGAGGAGGGCAAGATAAAGGAGAGAGTGATGAGACATGTATGAGCAAGATGAAACAGATGAGAAAGGAGAGAGGAAAAGAAAGAAGGGTTGGAGGAGAAAGATGAGAGAGAAGAGAGGGGAAAAATAAGGAAGAAGAGAGGGAGAGAAGAGAGAGAATAGGAGAGAAAAAGATAATAGAGGGAGAAAGATGGCGGAGGGAGAGAATAGAATGAATGGGAGTGAAAGAGAAAGATGACAGTGGAATACAGAAAGGAAAAGAAGAGAGAGAAAGAGAGTTTAGACAGCAGAGTCTCTGAGGGGCTTGGGCACAAAGGAAACCCTGCAAGGGAGTGAGTGGTGTGTGTAGGAGATATCTGGGGATTGGTCCATTTCCTGCGGGGTCCAAAGAAGCAGAGTCAGCTCTGGGAAAAGTTGCGAAGTCTGAGATGAAGCTGCTTTTGTATGGTTCTCCTTTTCCACTGTGCCATTCCCATAGAGTAGGCTTTTAACATTCACCCCTTCTATGTCGCATCTCTAGAGGACGATCCATCAGGATTGAAAGGGGTCTTATAAATTAATCCTTGCTAAATATGTTTAGGGCAGCCACTCTCTTTTGCCTTTCCTTGACATCTGCATTAATGTGGACAAGGCTTCTAAACCCTTTGGGACCCATTTCTCCCAGAACCTGCCCCTCACATCCCACTCTCCAGATGCTGCCCCATCAAGGACCTTCCCTACTATCAGGAAGATGATTGGCAGGTGGTGTTAGACTCCATTTTCCATCCTCCTCAAGTGACGGAAGACCTGGGATAATGGGCAGAGTCGATTGGTCTATTAGTGAAGGTTGACTAGCTGTCTCCTTGTTCCTTCCTTCACCTGAAGAAGCTTAATTGGCTTCAAGGGTCATAACATCTCAGGGGTGGAAGGAATCTCAGAGGGATCATAGATTTAGGTCTGGAAAGAACCTCAGGGTTAAAAGAAGCAGGAACCTTTCTCCCGCATCTCCTCCAAAAAGTGATCTATTCCCTGCTTGAAGACATCCAGTGGCTGGCAACTCATCCTCTATCAAGGTAGACCAGGCCTGCGGCTTGCCAAAGCAAGCAGCTCTCAGGCCACAGGTTGTGCAGGCCGGAGGTAGATTATTCCACTTTGGAACAGCTCTGATTAGTAGGAAGTCTTTCTGCATAGAGAGCCAAAATCTGCCTCGGCAGTTTCTATCCATTACGCCTCCTTCTGCTCTGTGGAAGAGGTGTATAGAGTATTCAGGGAGGACTAGCACCTCTGGTGTGAGGGCCTGCCCAGGACTTTCCAGAACTGCCCATCCACCTTTGGGGTCCACCTGTCACCCAATTCTCACCGGTGGCTCCAAGAAGCTCTAGTATGCACAGAAGTCACACCCTGGTAAAACCTGTTTTGACAGATGGGCTCAACCAGGTTGAGGGTACCTCACAGGTCTCAGATGTGTCAGTGAGTTAGGGGGTGCCTACCCCAAGCATGTGAACACTTCCTCTGGTGGAATGGGTGGATGAGAACAATTTGTTCCAATGGCCTTGAAGGCAACTGAAGCAGGTGCTGTGGAGCTTAGAGCTTGATCAGACATCCAAGATCCCAAGGTCATCCACTGCATCTCTAGCCATCACCAGTCATCTTGACTTTTGTCTTGCCACTGGACTTTGATGACTCTGAAAGACAAAGTACGGCTGACAACTTTCTGCAACTCTGCTTCACTTAAATCCAACTCATGTGCAAGTCAAGACATCACCCTCATGATGTCATTTGTCCTTTTTGAAAATGAAGGATGAACAACAACCCTGTGGGATCAAGGAGAATAAATCTCAACCTTACGAATACTTGAAGACAGCCATCATCTCCTCTCCTGAGTCTTCTGTTATTCAGGCTAAAACATCCCTGTTCCTTCTGTCACTCTTCTTATGTGACATGGTCTCCAGTCCACTTCTCATTCTGGTTGTTGTCACTCTAGCTTGTCAGTGTGGTCCCTAAAAATATGGTACCTAGAACTGAACACAATATTTCAGCTGTGGTCTGACCAAGGAAGAAGGGAGCAAGTTCATTTCTTATGTTACAGAGGTGGTTACTGAGGACCAAGTTGGGGAAGCGACTTGCTCAGGGTCACACAGCAAATGAGTACCAGTGTCTAGACCTGCATCTCCTTACACCAGGTCAAGGCTCTTCTGTTATACTACACTCAACCTTTAGAGGAATAATAATGATCACAAT